CCCACATTCTCCACACTCATGTGGCCTTTCTCCAGAGTGGATCTGCTGATGTTGAATGAGACTGCCCTTTTGATGAAAACATTTCCCACATTCTCTACACTCGTATGGCCTTTCTCCGGTGTGAACTCTCTGGTGTTCAGTGAGGTGTGACTTGTACCTAAATGACTTCCTACATTCTTTACACTCATAGGGTCTTTCTCCAGTGTGAACTCTCTGGTGTTCCTTTAGGTGGGAGTTGCTCCTAAATAACTTCCCACATGCCGTACACTCAAAAGGCCTTTCTCCAGTGTGAACTCGCTGATGCTGAATGAGGTTGCACTTGTGATTAAATGATTTCCCACATTCTCCACACTGATAAGGTCTTTCTCCAGTGTGAACTCGCTGGTGGTGAACAAGGCTGCGCTTATGGCTAAAAGATTTCCCACATTCATTACATTCATAAGGTCTTTCTCCAGTGTGAACTCGCTGATGGTCAACAAGACTGTGCTTATGACTAAAAGATTTATCACATTCTCCACACTCATAAGGTCTTTCTCCAGTGTGAACTCTCTGGTGTTCAGTGAGGTGGGCCTTATACCAAAATGATTCATCACACTGTCCACACTGATAAGGTCTTTTTCCAGTGTGAACTCTCTGGTGATTATTGAAACTATTACTTTTGCTAGTGAATTTCCCAGAATCACTGCATACATAAGGTCCTTCTCCAGGGAGAAGTCTCTGGTGAAGGACAAGTGAGTGTTTGTTGCTGAAGGGTGCTGTGGACTCTCCACAGATGTAATGAGTTTTTCCACCCTGAAGGGGTATCCCATGCTTAGTTTCAAAGTTTGACTTCCCTGAAGCGTGAATGTCCTCTTGTTGGAGCAATCTCAAGCTGGACAAAAAGTCTTTCCCAACCTCATGAAAGATAAATGGCTCATGTGACACATGGAATTTATAGTTCTTTACAAATGATGTTCCCTTGGCATTGCTTCTGTACGATTTCTCTCCTATGTGCCGCTTCTGTTCTTGATGATGGTTTGCATCGTCATCCAATGTTTTTTCACGTGCCCCAAACCCATTCAATTTCTGATTGTGTTGTGTTCCCTGGTGTAAGATATCTCCCAGGAGAGGGCCACACATTCCCCAGAGGTGGACCTTCTTGGTACATACACCTGTCCAATGTGTCCTGAGTGGGGACTCTTGTTGTATAGAAAGGGTCTGCTTAGAAGGTGTCTCGTCTTTTGCTCCATACCAACAACCTAAAAGAAATAAAATGCTGGTAAAATGCAAGGTACTTCTGAAGGAAAGTATTACTAAGCCATACCTGATCAATGGCTGCTTTGTTGTATTTATATTTACTTAGGCCTATACACATCCTTTTATATAGCATCCACATGCTTTATGAAGGTCCTTTAGATGTTTTCACAGGAAGGAATTGTAGACCTTGCCTCTACTTCCTGTAGTGCATGTATTGTTGGTTCCTTCACATCATGTGGCCCCCTCCATTCTATAACCATTCTAACCCAGTAATTGGAAGAAGACTTGTCTTCAACTTAAAGGCAACATTCTGTTTCTGCAATTATTTCCATGGAGTAATACCTCTGTTAGATATAACTGTTTGTGTGTCACATGAAAATATGAGTACAACAAAGCAGCTGTTGGTCAGGTATGGCTTAGCAATGTGTACACACTTCCTAATACAAAACTGATATGCCAGTATTGGAGTCCGCTGCAGATGGAAATGTGAGAAAAATGGGTGACAGGTGGGATCCAGAGATGTGAAGATTAGTCCTGGGCTGGCATCAGAGTAGAAGTGACAGGGTATAGAACGGTGAAGTCTGAAACCCTCAAGAATGGGGAAGACAGAAACAGCATATGGCTAGTCATGTTGCTAGGTAAATACTTGTGAAATCGGAGAGCTTCTAGTATGACTTTCCTAAATCCCTAATGTTACATCTTACTCCAGGGTGTTACTCCTCAGAGGTGGCCTCCCTCTGGGCCCATCATGAGCCTGGGTTTAGCTGCAACTTCTGCATCACTGAGAACTCTCAGTCCAACTGCAAAGATACACATGGAATTTACATGGGAAATGGATGACATAAAGAATAAGAGAAAGACAAGAGAAAAGAACAGCCAATAGTTCAGAAAAAATCAGCACATCATAGCCCATAGGAAAGAAAACTAAATATTACAAAGAGAATTTTTGGCCAGGTGCAGTGGCTCACACCTATAATCCCAGCACTCGGGGAGGCCAAACTGGGAGGACTGCTTGACCCTAGGAGTTCAAGACCAACCTGGGTAACATAATGAGACACCATCTATACAAAACAAACAAACAAGGCCGGGTGCGGTAGCTCACGCCTGTAATCCCAGCACTTTGGGAGCCCGAGGCAGGCGGATCACGAGGTCAGGAGATCGAGACCATCCTGGCTAACATGGTGAAACCCCCTCTCTACTAAAAATACAAAAAACTTAGCTAGACATGGCAGCGTACGCCTGTAGTCCCAGCTGCTGGGGAGGCTGAGGCAGGAGAATGGCATGAACCCAGGAAGCAGAGGTTGCAGTGAGCCGAGATCGCACCACTGCACTCCAGCCTGGGTGACAGAGCAAGACTCCATCTCAAAAACAAAACAAAACAAAACAAAAAATGAACAAAAATTCGTTAGGCAGGGTGGCATGCTCCTGTAGTCCCAGCTACTTAGGAGTCAGGTGGAAGGATTACTTGAGCCCAGAAGGTTGAGAATGAAGTGAGCCATGATTGCATCAGTAGACTGCAGCCTGGATGACAATGAAACCCTGTCTGGGGAAAAAAAAAAAAAAAAAAAAAAAAAAAAA